ATGTCATTGTGAGAACTTCACATGCACTTTAAAGCAGTTATATCTACTCTTAAGAAAAAACTATAAACTACAGATATGGTCAATCACTTATTTATATTAATTTTATTGTCTATGCTTTTAATATTTTATTTAATTGTGACAACAACCATGTGTCACAATGAACAGTGCAATATGAACCGAAGCCCAAGAAAATGTGAACATGTTTTTGGAAGAAAATAAAAACTGATAAAACTGATGCTGACCAGAAACAAATAAGAAACAAATGCAAATATCACAATATATACTGTATGACAATATATGCTGTATTTCTATATGTCCAGTAAAAAATTACCTCCACATGTATACCCCTCATTTTCAGAATTATATCACCATTTTAAGAAATAAAATTATAACACATACACAAGATACACATCTATAATTCTAAGAAATCTCTGAAAAACTCAACTAGAATGTTGATATAAACCCCCCCAAAAAGAAAAAAAAATCTAGACATGTAATGATTATTATTTATGATTCAAAGGGCTATAAAATCCTTTGATAGGCAAAAAATATACCTTAAGGCATAATGTATTTTGAGGGGGAAGGCTATTTTAGTTGAAAATGCAGTAATGAATTGTTTCCTCATGCATTATATAATTCCTAGAAAAAGTTCAAATTAGTTGCCCAAAAGGACATTTTAATTATCAGAAGCAGTATTTTGAAATTCATACAAGCCATCACACTTGTTTGGAAACAAATGACTTTTCAAAATAGAGAAGTATTACTATCAATCACCAACAAGTTAATTCTACATAATAAGGCAGTTTTGGATGCAAACTGATCCATTGTGGAATGCTGTATCTAAAATTGATTACAACAGCACTCAAAATGAATGCAGCCCTCCAAACCACTTCTTCCCAAAGAAACATTAATCTCAATTAGAAGGAGAGCTTCATAATGGTAATGCTTGGTATAAAAAATATAAAATAAATCAGGTTTTATAAGACACAACAATTAATCAGTTTTCAGATCAAGACTTTTTTTTTGAAGTACAAAATTTCCATCAGGACTCTTAAAACAGCTGGTATCTCCAAGATTAGGTTTTAAATGTGTTATAAAAGAAGCTTACATGAAGTAATTTTTAAAACTTAGCTGTTGAAACTTTTTAAATAACATGCATTATTGTGCCACTTTTTCTATACACTTCTTCATTCTGAATGCATGTGTTAAGTTCTTCCTCAGACTACCATTCCACTTAAGACAAACATGAACAAGGACTTCAACTGAAAATCCAAAGGAATGTATAATTGGCCACAGATCAGAGTAAAAGTTTGGTACCAAATTATTCTATTCTTTGCTCATACTCATTATGCCTTAAGGTATATTTTTTGCCTATCAAAGGATTTTATAGCCCTTTGAATCATAAATAATAATCATTACATGTCTAGATTTATTTTTCTTTTTGGGGGGGTTTATATCAACATTCTAGTTGAGTAAAGAAAGTACATCCTAAAAATCAAAATGGACATTTGACTATCAAATAAAACACTGAGTAGATAAACCATGCAAAACTGAACATGCTTAACAGGTTTCCAATGCACGGCTTCAAGAAAAGGGCAGACAATTCATTAACTGCTGCTGAATACACTGACTCACATAAGACTAATACCTGGGTAGCATTCCACTGCTATCCAGAAATAAAATGTTTAAAGAATAAAGTTTAATGAAAAGGAAGTACATGTATTTATTTTAATAATTAATATTAAATGAATAAAGTTGTCTTTTATTGCACTCTTGTATCAGACTATGATCTTGCTTAAGGACTTATTTCCTAGTATCACTGGAGGTAGGATGAACTTCAGCATTTGCAAACATACTTTCAGATATTGCAAAAACACAGTTTTTTATATACTCAGCCCAACAATGATTCAATGTTTCTGACAGGTCATTCTACTCACAATGTACTCACATACATTTTTCTCTGGTTTCTTATTTGCTTGACTCTTTACAAAGAGAATAATTACTCTTAGCTCTCAGAAGCAAAGCTAAGAAAGATTAGCTTGAACTTACTAACTGGATCATTATTGTTTAGCCAGGTTTTCTTTCTGAATCAATTTAAAACTCTTCACTATTTAGAGGTTTTCTTCTATTCAAAGATAAGCATCCTTCTTTGTCTTCATCTTAATAAAGCAAGTTCCCTTTCCTAACCAAAAGACTGATGACATGCCTACAAGATCATAGTAAAAAAAGCCTCTATAATTCACCTAAACATTTCTTCCTAGCAAATAAACAGTCACACATAATGATTCAATTTGGGAAAATAACTAGTCACATTTCTACTATAAATCTATCTGCGTTATTTTAAATAACCAAGCAATCCTCATTAGAGTTCATATTCTCTATGAGTTGCTAACCTTAGTGTGACTGGTATAGTATACTCAGATAGTTTTCTAAATACATATACACTGGCATAGTTCTTGTAAAACTACATCTTTCAAAAATATTATGAAGTATATGTAAAATATATATTTGTCATATTTGAAGGAACTATCTTTTCTAATAGTATTTCTTCAAGTTATGTAAAATAAAATATATTTACTGCTAGATAAAATAGTACCTTTGAGTAAGAGAAACATTAAAATTCATGTAAGAAAAAAGACAAGATTATTAAGGAAACTGCAACAGGAAAAGAGACCACTCAATCCTGACATACATAAAAGAATAAACCCATTATAAACCCCCATCTTTGAAGAATTTAGGAATAATTTGTGAATGCCATGACATTTAAAAGTGGGATTAGCAAGTCTTATTACTGAACTAACCTCTCACTCTTAGATCAAGTATTAAATATTTGCTCTGCATTTTGAATCACAAATCAAAACTTTCAAGGCTTGTACAAGAATTTCACATATTAAGAAATACAAGTTAGAAGTTTTAGACAATTTAAAGTGTATAAAGGGAGGCACAAACCAAGAATATTGATATATTTACAAAATCTTGAATTTTAACAAATATTAAATTTATAATGAATTATAATCGTGCAACCACCCCTAATTCTAAATTGTTTCTAATATACTAGAAAGACTACAAATACTTCTTCCAAATAAGCACAGTGGGTAAGCATCATATTTTAAACACTAAGAGAAACAAAACATCTCTGTTCAACAGTAATGTCACTTTGGGGGACACTCTTCCAAGCTTTCCAAAAATGCCATTCTTGCCTTTTTTTTTTTTAAACTGACAACAGAAGGGAAAGGTAATGTCTGAACACATTTCTATTTCTAGTGAAAAGACCACCCAGTGGATTCTGCCAGAGCCTACAAATGTTTGACAAATACACTGTCAAAAGATAAGAAATAGAGTATTATGAAGAGACAGTCCTGTTCTTACCCAAGTCCTGTTCTTATCCTGGCTGCCCGGTGCCCTGTAAAAAGTGCTAAGACAGTTCTCGACACTTTCATTTCCATTGCACCGACTCAAAAGTACCTGGAAACTTTTCTCTAGCTTGGAATTACAAACACTTTAGAAAAAATATGTATTTGCTGTATACACGGTAGAAACAATCATTTCCTATCCCTTCTCCACAATAAAAACTAACACTTTTCCATTATAACTATCTTTAAATTGAGGCTGTAAGAATGGAATCTGAATTGCACAATAAGATGCTCAGCAAAGATCTGCCACCACCCACCTCAACCTTTAAGCAATCTGAAGCCCTTTCTCACCGGTTGTAAAACATGATAGGGACTTAGGCTGAGTTGAAGATTCATACGTCTGTCTTTTTTTTTTTAATGCCCAGTTCAGGGTATTTTTTGTTTCCAGTCTCACTCTGAGTTTTCCAGATCAAGTTTCGGTCGTGAACCACCACCACTCTCCACAGCACTCCCAGCTCCTACACTTTTTCCTTCACTCCTCTTTCCAACTTGGCTGCCTGGCAGTTGGGAAAGCCTTCTCTCCACTTCCCGAGAAAGTGGTGACATCCCAGGGCTTCCCGCTCGCTGGAAGCCTCACAGGATCCCGTCAGACACCTTCACTCGGGGTTTCCGCCACCAAACTGGGTATCACCCCGCAGAGGGCAAGACGACTGGACTCCCTGCCCCCACTGAGCGCTCCACCTCTGGCTGCCTGCCTGGAGGAACCCGGGAGCCTGGAGCTCCCCGAAGAGGGGCGCTGTGCCCAGGTCCCCAGGTGCGAGGCTCGGGTGAAGTTCCCACCAGAGCACGCAGCCAGAGGTGTCACACTCCCAGGAGGGCGGGGACCCAGAGGCCGGGACCGCGCGGCCAAGCAGAGGTGATGCTCCTCCACCCATGGTGCTGGCCAACTTGCTGCCGCCTCCCAGCAGCTCGGGGAAACGCGCGTAGCAGCTCGCGCCCGCCGGCTCCCGGCGTCGCGGCCCGGGCACTAGGACCCCAGAAAGGAAGCAGGGCGCGCCGCCGGCGGCGCCGCACTTACCGCGCTCGGCTCGCCCGCCACGCTGCTCGCCACTCGGCCGCAGCCGCCGCGTCCCCCAGCAGCGCGCACGCACTGCGCTGGGCCAAATTCAAAGGAGCCCGGCGCGGGGGAGGGGGCCCGGGCGAGGGAGCTGGGAGTGGGAGAGGGGGCGGGGAGGGGAGAACAGCAAGTGTTACAACTTCCTTCCCGGCCCACCGCCCGGCCCCGGCGGGCGAGGGACGCGGCGAGGGGAGGGAAGCGCGCGCCGAGCGCCAATGAGTTCACTTTCTTTTTCTCCCCCTCTCCCTTCGCGCCGGCCCCCTCCAGCCTCCTCTGCGGTCGACGCCGGCCCGGACTTTTCGGGGCTCTGCCCGCGAGCTAGAGGATGGAGGAGGCGTGAGAGGAGGAGGAGGAGGAGGAGGAGAGAAAGGTGAGGAGGCGAGCGGGGCGCTGTGCCAGGGAGCAGATTCCAGGACCGCGATCGTGTGAAGGGGACGCTCTGGGCCAGACCAGGCGCGTACACGTGTCCGTGTCAGTGTGGGGTGTGTGTGTGTGTGTGTGTGTGTGTGTGGTGTGTGTGAGAGAGAGAGGGGGAAGAGGGGAGAGGAGCCTACCATGCGCTTCCCCCGGTGCTGGTCGCGGGAGAGCCCAATCGCGGGGCGAGCTGGACCGGGATGCGATCATTTATAATCCTAGACTCCTCCGCTCCGCCACTTGTCAGGATGACAGGTACTTTATTTCTTCTTTTGTATTCAAAAAAACGGATTCCCCGTTTCCTGCCTTTTTCTGTCAAATGGGATTTGCCGGACTGAACCACGTTCACCGCCCCTCCCGCCCTCCTCCCTCCTCCCGGCCGCGTCGGGTCCGGAAAAGCACCGAGGCTCCCCTGCTGTGACCAATCAGTGCATCTACTACTCCGGCCTTGATTTAGGGGTCATCCATGAATAACACTTCAGGCTGATGAATGGCTCTTGCCGGCTTTCGGCTCTGATGAGGGGTCTGCCCGCCGCTGATTGCAAACACTAATGAACTTACAGTGCCATTTGAAATTCACACGCACCAACAAAGTGCGGGGTTACGTGCGCAGGGGTCTGTCCTTTTCTTCTCCGGGTGACCGGGAGGTGGACCTGGGGGAGGGGACGGGTAATTGCTTTGGACTTAAGTGGAGAAACACTTCTCTGGGTAATCAAACCTCTAACCTTCTTTAAAAACTACTTTTCTTGATTTTCCGTAGGGTGGGCATTTCAGGTCAGCTGAGTCACCCGAGGAGGCGGGAGTGCAAGACACTGGTGGAAAGATGGATTCCGAGGCCGAAGGGTGTAATTAAGGATTGCCACCCCCGGCGGGCGGCCCGCCCTTGACGAGCCTCGGAAAATGCCCTGTGCCTTCCTTTCCCGAGAGTCTTCTCTTCTGAAACTGAAAAGCGCAAATGACCTTCGGACGGGAGAGGGCTGCACGAAGCCCTCAGACTTCGCTACGAGCCGCAGCTCTACGCTGTAGACCTGGTGTCTGCCCCCCGGGTTCGAGTGCCGGGACCTCCGAGGAACAGGACCTGGCCAGGGCGCACCCTGGGGTCCTCTGAAGCCTCCAGACCCCCATCCGTATTCAAACGCGTCCTTACAGACTGTCTCTTCCGTCTCTCCTCTCTCCCTTCCCCTCCCCTCTTCCTTCTTTTCCTTCTCTAAGCAGCCCAACACTGCCCCGGTCTCGAGTTTGTTAAGAGAAGGGGAAAAAAGTTTACTGCTCTCTGCGACACATTGCCACTTGCTACTCGCTTAAATTCCCACTAAAACTCTAGCTGCCTGACCCCCAGTTCCTCTCCCCAGGCCCCTGGGGTGCAGAAAGCCCGCCTGCAGAGCTTCCTAAATCTGCCCAAAGTTCTCACTCTTTGGAGTTTTGGAACCTGAAACCCGCGCCCTTCCCGGAGCCGCTCTCCGGCTCACGCGGTGAGGCGGCCGGCGTGGAGCTCGCGCGTGCGAAGGACGGGTGCGCGAGGTTCCCCGTGGGGCGCCCCGGCGTTCCCGGCCCTCCCCAGGGGCCCGCGGCCGTCCGGGCGGTGGGTGAGAGTCAGTGTTTCGGCCTGCCCCGGCCCGCTGCCAACCTGTCCCAACAGCTTGGTCGAGGGACTGCTCTGAGCCCACTGCACCTTCCCTGCAACTTCAGAGCGGGGATAAAGACCTATACCTAGCCTGACCCGAAGGAAGGAGATTTGTACTTTCACCTGCGTCTGTTTGCAAAGCAAGATCAAATCTAGCACTCTCGAAAGCAAAGGGCAACGCCTCCTAGGAAAGCCTGAATTTTTATGATCGAGTTTCTCCAAGTTTGGGGTGGATCTCATGTGTGAACTCCAATTACAGTACCCAGACCCGGCCTCGAGTTCCCGTAGTTGCTAAGTGACCTATGGAGCCACAACGTGTTAAGTCTCAGTAATAAGCGAACCCCACCCGGCTCCTGGGGCGCTAGTGACACACCACACGGGCATCTTTCCGGGAACATCCCGAGTTGCCCTAGGGTGGGTGCATCGGTTTCATTCCTGCCACGTGCACTTCATACTGGGGGGGGGGGGTCGGATGCACCATATCTCCCTCTCCTGCTAGCTATTCTCATTATCCTGAGAAATTAGCCAGCTATGAAAATATCGCAAACTGCTCAAAATTTGCACACCTGATATAACCCTAAGGACACTGAAGGTATTTCATAAATCAGTTTTGTGGCCCAGATCCCACAAAAGCATTGTGTTTGAAAACTTTTATAACTGTCCAAGACTCCCCCTTGCTCTTTTGTACTCTGCTATCCCGGAATACTCAATAAAAAGAAAAGACACTGTGCTCCATGCCCAAAGAAGCCAGAACAGAGTGCTACATTAGGGAAATGGGGAGAGGTTTAAGCTCTTTTTTTTTTTCTAGAACCCTCATAGTTAACGCTAGTAATAAACGAAGGAAACAATAGAACTCACAAAACTTAGAAAAGGTAATAAATCTTGGAGCCTGTCTCTAGACTACTTCCCTGTTAAATGATTTTCAAAGTTTTAAGTTTGTGGTGCTGAACATTCACTCAAAATGGTTGCAATATATATAGAAAAGAAAAAAACCTAGAATTCATTACTGTAGTCCTGTGCGTTAACCGCCCAGAGTGGCGGGTGCACAAAGCGCAGATGACCTCCTGCGCCGGTAAGGCGCAGCCTGTGGTAATTCAGGCAGTGTATGTATGTGTGTTAAACTTGGGGGGGGGGGCGAGCGAGGAGGGAGACAGAAAGATCGGTCACTGGAGATCACCGTTAGGAAAAGCTGACATGCATTGCCAAAGTGTACCAACTCACTTCCTCCTCCACATGCATCCCTGGAAAGCAGAGAGGCAGCTCGCTACGTGACCAGGAGGCACTTGGCCTCCAACTATTGTCATGGGAGGGCGAGGAGGGAGGGTAGCTCACGCCTTGCCCTTCGCAGCGATAAAAACTAGGAGAAGAAATGCAAGACTTCGCTATCTGTCTTGCAGACCTCTGGCTGCTGCTCAGAGCAAACTCTTCCCACAAGGATGGTGACTTTGCGGTGGTGTTGACGCAGCCTGTAGGACACTGGAATAATGGGGCTGGGGTGAGCTGGTGGCATCCCTGTCCCGTGGGGTCCCCCTTGTCTCACAGATACGCAGCTCTCTGAAAAGAGAATGTGACGGAGCTCCCAGCACAGCCCGTGTCCATACCCCTAGCAATGTATGCCTGTGGCCTTCGTGAGCCTTGGGAGGAAGACAGTGGGCCAAACCTCAGAAAGCTTTGGGGTTAGGAAGGATGCACCTGTGCCATCGGAGCTGGGGGAGCGTGGGAAAGGGCCAGGCTCCTGCCACTGCTAATGCCTGATGTGGGGCCAAACCTGAGCCAGCAGTCTTCCCCTACTTGAAGGTGTTGCTTCCCCCATTTTAGTCAGCATCACCTGAGCCTCCTCTGGAGTTGGAGGAGCTATCTGTTTTCTCCTCTTGTCCTAAAGATCCAGCCTGGAGCGGGAGAGGCTGGGTAGCAGCTGTTCCAGCTTCCTTCTTTTGGGGAATGGACCCTCTCTGGAGCCACTTCCTCCTTTAAAGTGGGAGGCTTTCAGGCATGCAGAAGGGGATCATGGGGTCAGGCAGGTACCAGGCTCTCCATGGAGGCTTGTGGACATCACTGGACTTTCTAGGTATTCCTTGGGCTTATTACAAGGTTCTAGCAAACTGAGGCATGAGTAGGCTGACTTCTAGACTCTCCACTCAAGAGCCTCTAGACACTGATGAGCAACTGGAGGAAATGATAAGGAGACCCAAAGCTCAGGCATCTCGACCTACCAGCTCAGCCCTTGGAAAAATCAGGAAAGCCAATAATCCAAATACGTCTAAACGGAGGTTATGTCTCATCTGAGAACAACAAATCATAATGGCCACTTGAACCAGGCTAAAAGCTAGTAATCACTGAGCAAATCCTGAATTCTAGGCACCCAAAGTTAAACAAATTACTTTGCATATAGCAAACAATTAATCTGGAACAATTTACAGTACTAGAACTTAAATTTTACACTCCTCTCCAAAGTAGCCATAAAATTATTATCAGGTTGTTTTTTACTCACAAAAATAACTTGTTTCCCTTGGCAGTTAGATTGAGTGAAACTGTAAAACAAAAATTAGGATTTGAACACTGACAAAGTCATAAAATTAAATGACTGTTTGTAGTGGAAAATGTGCTTTCATTACCTTCATTAAACCAAGCTAATCAATCCTCTCTCAATGCACATCCATTTTGGAGTCATGGAGTGGACTGGTGATCAGGCAAATCAACCTTTAAATGGGGCCAAGTTTTTCCAGTACATTAATTTATGTTACAGTGCATAAACTAAGCTTGCATGTGGTTCTGACCTTTGGTGGAAAAGAAGTTGTGGAGCACAACCTAACTGCTGATGTGGTTTTGCTAGAGCATCCTAAAAGACCCCAAGTTCTGTGAAGGATTTTGAACACAGACATCTTTTAACATGCGGTGCATCCAAATTTGGCTGAGCTCCACGTACATGTTTAAAATTTGCCACTTGATTTCACGCTGAAGGTTGGAACTTTTATAATTAATAGTTATCAGAGAATGCTTGTAAAATCTATCAGTTTTTGCAAATGACTTAGTAGTAAGTACTATCTCTGTAGTGTATTTGAGGTAGACACCAGTTGCTGGCAAATTTATCACACATTAGTAATATGGAAAGACAATTTTGTCAATAAAACAACATCATTTAGCTATTTAAGAGTTCAGCTTATAAATTAACTTAATATGTAAATATGGTTTAAATTAACCATACAAATGCCTGTCAAATACAGATAGCTTATAAGTAAAATGCAGTACCAGACAAATTGAACATCTTCTCATTTCCCAGATATGCTCAACTCTTTATCCTCCTGTTGGTGATGCCTTGGTCTACAATATCCTGCTCCCTGGATTCCTGAAACACCTAGCTTTTAAAGCATCTATTAGTAATCTCTCCTCCTTAGGTGTGCCATTGTATTTTCTGTGTGCAATAATGATTACTGGATGGTTTTTAGGGGCCCTTCCCAATAGTTGAGAGCTCCTGCAGCATAGGGACTTCATCTTATTTTTCTTTGAACCCACAGGCCCCTACACAAGGGCTGGTCTACAGACTATGCTCAAAAATGTTTGTTCAGTGAATGAATGAAATCATGAATAAAGTATTTTATTGTATTTAGTTATTCTGACTTTCTTTTTAAATATGATATATCATAAGCAAAATTTGCCTTGAAAATATATTTATTAAATACACTTTTCTACATCTCTGACCATCAGTTTTTTTAAATGAGACATAGTTTTAAAATGTTGATCATTATAGGAACCCACTTTTGAACTTGGTTGACTTTTCTCAGAAATGTAATCAGAAGCAAAGACAAACATAACAGGAAGAGGCAAAGAAATCAAATTTTCTTTTCTTTTTTAGTAAAATGCAGTATTTACAGAAAACTGGAAAAAGGCATAGAAGCATCTAACAAATGTATTTTATATTAAAGTACATTATTATAAAATCCTTATTGTCTTCAAAATTTCCTCTGTATTTTTAGTGGGAAGAAGTATAGAACTTAAAATGACTGCTTTTCATTTCTTTAAGACAAGGGTTCAGCTGGTATTGGGGAAACAATCTCTGTTTGTTCCTGTCTGCTCAGGAAGACTGTTTCTAATTGATCTGGCATGGAATTTAGGTGGAGATGTGTATGTTGCAACTGAAGCACAGAGCCTGTATGCTTTGTAAGGTGATAACCATATGGGCCTTATTTGAAACATTTGAGGATTTTTGACATTAACCTGGGTTAAATTGAACTATAAATTCAACTCAAATATATATGTCCTGACAAATTCATCATCACTTTGGATCGATTCAATCCATGCTCCCTTCGGATTAATAAAGACAATGACTGCTTATCACACATGCAAAGGTTTGCTGTGATAAAGTACCATAATGTTGTACTTTGCACTGTTTAAATGCAAATTGCCCATATTAAGCAGACATTTTCTACTGTTATCACTTTCAGTAGAATGGAAATGTTTAAAAATGATCTCTGGGTAAGAAAAGGATATATAGTCAAGTCTATTTCCTCTTACACTATTTTCAAGTGCACTTCACTATCATCATGAAGATTTAATTAAGCAAGCTCAGCTAAGCTAAAAAGCAAAGCGGCTGGAAGTTACTACTTATAGAAACATTCAGGACTTATACAAAAATAATTTATTTACTATTTTTCATTAGGGATAAAAACACAACAGAATTCTATAACTCCTCTCCCCTATTTCTGAATATTAAACTTCGAGCTTACACTTTGTTACAGATAATAGTACTAAGTTATGGGTGTTGATGGTCCTTTCCTTGCAGCTTTAAATTGCCTTGAAAAAGATACAGTTTCTTTAATTAAAAAAGCTGCATAGAACTAATCCCTCTAGCTGAAAGAAGAAAAGTTTTAAGCAATCTCTTTCTGCTCCAAGAGAGAAAGGCAGACAATACCATAACAGATCAGAAACATAAGCTATAGTGTGCAGCCAGGAGCGCAGCAGGGAACTGAATACTGCTCCGACTGTGTCATTTTTTAATCCCCCATCCCAGTTTTCCCCGTCTGACCTCATGCTGAGATGAAGTTATCACAGAAGACAGCTTTACTCTCACCAATGAATCCAACCCTGGATCTGTATTATCCTCAGCAGATCAAAACACCGCTTTCATCAAATAGCATTATCTGCATAAAAGGCATGCAATTGCCCGATAATTTCACCCAAACTATGCTATTCATTTAAAAGACAAGAAGAGAAATGTAATTCATTCTTTTTGGGGGGTGGCAGAGAAAAGTGAGACTTGGGGAGAAATAGACGCCGGAAAAGCTAACTTATCCCCCTTCACTCATGGGAACTTTTCTGTTTTTAACACAAAATCCCAAGAAGGGGTCCATTTAAAAGTCCCCCTACTCCTGTGCTTTAAGATTAATTGTTGGAGCAATTTGGTGCAGTTTGAGTGACAAAAGTGTAAGTTATGTAGAAAACTGGCAATGAGAAATTACAAAGCTTGCTGATGTCATTATCCATGCTTCCATGAACCCCAATAAAAACATCATATCCAGTAAAATTGGAGAAGCATAAGAATTAACTGAACAACTGAATGAAGTTTAACACAGTGTAGTATGGGAGGAGGAATACTTACTGGAAGATCTTTTCCTGCTTAAGAGAAATTTGAATTTTTACAGTAGAGAGACAAAGATCTACTCCACAATTTTGAGTTGATATTTTGAAGAATATTTGAGAAAACTTAGGAGCAAAGACTAGCTTCTTTTTTTTAAATTTAAAAAACACTTTAGCTTCTTTCAGATTTTCCTTTCTATTTTACGTTTAAACAGTTCTCATTTGCATTGCAGATTGTGTAAGCTGTTATAATGGACTTCTCTTCAATGGATCCTAACTCTATTGAATGACATCAGTTGTTTTGCTCATGGTATCATGGTAGGC